AGATTTGCATCGACCGCTCGATTTTTGCCGAGCTTCAAGGGTTGTGCGTTGAACCCGTAGTGGAGGAGGCTAGTGTGGAGCCAGTAGTAGATGTTCAAGATGTAATGGATGCTGTTGATGAGGTCAGGACAACGGAACAGGCCCAAATTTACCTAACAAATCTTTTGCTAGACGAGAAACAATATGCTTTACCACGACAGTACGATCTAATCAGCAGATTACTGCAAGAAATACGGGCGAATTCCTTTTTTGCATTAGCCGAGGTTGGTACCCTCAAAGATGATGTTGATGACTTTGGGAAGAAGATTGTTCCCCTCTTGAACTCAAACAGCGCCCTACTGTATGCCATCACCTCCCTTAGAGGCTTACTTTCAAGACTAGGTACTCCAATTGCGAAACCTACGGATCACAGTGAGCTCATTTTTACCCTAAGCATTAGCCGAAACTTTGTGCCTGCTAAGTCGCCTCTCTACGAAGCAGTCACAGTTCAAGCACAGAAACTTCGAGTCGGTCTGGTGGAAGAAGCGGCCGTTGACGTGCATTTAAAGATGATTGGCCAATTGCAAACCTTCCTGGAGGAGAAACTAACCAATGATCTCTTTGTGACAGTCTCTGACTATATTTCTCGAATTTCCAACATTGGGTGCATCAAAGACTTGAATCTGTTGAGTACCCTTCAATTTATTTGTGTTGCAGTAAGTCTTCTACCTGTCGATATTGAGGTAAAGCTCCTCGCAATACTTTTGTGCAGAACTATTAATTCACTGTCTGCGGAAGCAATGCCACTTGTTCAAATGATTCTTGAAGAAATCGCTAAGAAACTACCTACATCTAAGGATTCAAAAAGTGGTCGAAATCTTCGTCTAGTAATCCCACTATTACCACTGACCTTGAATACCGAAGAAGATCATTCGAGCGTGGAGTTCGACAAGATCTTGACAACGGTTTGCATTGCAAATGATCTAACCAAAGAACTAGGTGGTCCCGCTGACTCCGATTTGAATAATCTAATGTCTGAAATCTTTTGGAGGTTTTTTTTTAATCACGAACACTTGACACCTAATGGGGTGTTTGGAGATCTCTACAAGAAGACATCAAACTTGACCTCGGAGTGGTTGGACACTGACAGTCAGAATTCTGTATTCTTCTCTAAGTTATTCTACGCCGCTGAAAAACTTCCACTCGGTCAAATAAGAGATGGGCGACTGCCTTCTGAGTTCAATCTGGATCCCTTCCAAATGGACTCTTACTTCATCCTGCTTCAATCACTCCTTGTGATCACGACACTTGTAAGACATACTGATCCAAGGGTAAGGCTTACTAGAGATCACCTTGTAACCTTCTACCATGCAACTGTAATCTCTCTACACTCTGCACACTTTCATGGACGCGTTGAAGCAAATGCAGGGCTAATTTGGCTGCTAAGTAGAATCGAGAAGTTTTACCCCACCGAAGGTGGGGAACAAGTTGCTCTAAATAATCTTCTTCTGGACAATTCATCCATTCGAGAAATGGTTGAATCTGCAATATTTAAGGCTGTAGAAAGTGTCGTTGAAAACTTGCGTTCTCATATAGCCCCAATAATTCTACCATTGGGCAGTGATACCGGTGATCCATTTATGTCGCCAGATCCAGAACTCATAAGAGAAGGTCTGGAGACTAGTTTGTGTGGGTACTTTTCCATCAGTGCAGCGGACGCTCTCTTAGCACTGCGCATTCTCAGCGAACTAAAATATGGAGAACTATCAACTGTGGATCTAGCATCGACTTGTCGAATAATTAACTACCTTTTTAAGGAGGACGCTAATAGATTCAAAAATTCCAGCAGAAAAAACAGCATTTGCTTGGTTGATTTTTCTGATGATCTTCCCCTTTCAATGGCCATCGAAACTGCAATGTCAAATCTGGAAGCTTTCTCAACCATTGGTAGATTGAGATCCCTTGAAGATGTTGAAATCTTTCTGAAGTCGATCTTCGTTCTCTCTTCCTGTATTGGACTGGGCGATTCCCCAGAACAGGTGATTTCAGAGACAATCATTTCAACTCCAAGTGAGACTTATTCCTCATTTTCTGTTCATCCTAGCAGCGGAACGGATGTTTTCCAAAGCCTGGAATCCTCTCCACTGCTTTTGAAGGTCTCAAAAGAACCTTCACCTGATGAAGAGCACACCTTGAGAGCCCTATTTCAGCTTAATGTCAAAGTGGTGGTTGGACGAATTGATTTAGGCCCCGAGGATTCCACAATTATGAATCTTCTTGACGTTTACCATCACTCTCGGCTACTGCTTCAGGCTCGTAAGTCGAATGGCATCTCAAGTGCTGCAATTTCAAAGTTAATTCCAGAAATTCATTCTATTCTACAGTCAAATGACCACTTTCTGACAGAATCACCGACGAAGATTATGGAAGAGATCTCACAGGAGTGTTATGACCGAATTTCCAAGCGCTTTCGAGAAGTTCTCCTGAACGAAAGGACTGAGTTGTCGCTAAGACTTCTATACGGTTACTTCAGTATGCTATTTCCTACTGCCACCACGACGCCAATTGCAGCACAGGAACTCCTATCGCTTCGAATTGCTGGAATTCAAAAGAATCTGTCCCAGAAGGAATTGTGGTCTTACGTAAAAAAGAACCTTGTAATAGATTCGACCCCGCCTCATTTCGAATCTATCATTCTGGCGATCCAAGGAGCACAGAAAGCTTTGGAAGGGTTCTCGTTGAATGCTGTGGAACAGATTTGTCTGCTCTACTCCTTAAATCAAGAAAACAACCTCCTGTTTGCTGACTTGGCAGCTGCTATCAACTGGGTGGAAATATGGCCAGTTCAAATGTCATCGAAACAACGCCAGTATCTTGAAAAAAATATCCATAAATGGGTTAAAATGCTGTCCGAATCTGTTGATTTATCAAAAATGAGGTCTTTCGATCCACATGAGGCTTTCAAGTGGATATCTGTGGGGTTAGTTGCTGAATGGCCACTAAATAAAAGCGTGAAACTCATTGATTCCTACCCTGGAAGTATTAAAGATTCAGAACTATATCAGCTTCGAGAATCTATTGAACCATCTTTCCAAGAGATTGATAAAATTGTCGACTTCTTGGAAATCCAGCTCTCAATTCACACCTTGGATGAATTTATTACTCTGGATAGCTTGGAAGCTCTTCAAATTATTGGCTGCCTTCGTCAAATCTCTAGAAACACGGACCTGTTCAATTCTATTCCGGAGATTATTGAAAAAACCTGTCAACGCCTTTATCTTGCAGTCGCATGCACCTCTATGACTGAGGACAAAGAAGCTCAAATTGAATTGCCTAGAAAGTACCTTCATCTACAAGAGATGCTTTCCACTCTTCCTCCTCACCTTCCAAGGCGAACTTATACTCCAGTTGAGCAAGCATTAGCAGGTACCCCAGAAATCCAAACTCCAATCTGTAAAACACGTCCAAAGGGGATTCATTCCATGGAAATGGCTTCTGGAAGTCTAAGATCCCTTCAATCGCTACACTTTAATGGGGGATCATATCACGACTTAGCCACCACTGGTCAATCGACACCCTTCAAAGGCAGTTCTCTGAACAAATTACAGGAGCTCCTTGAGATTCGTCGGGCTGTTGTGGCTGGATCGAGGTCAGAACTGAATCAACTGGGTTATGGATACTCGCTAATAAGAAGCGGTACTTCTGGAGAGCAGTCTCGAATCCCCGACAAATTGGATTTGAGTATGCTTCGCAGACGGTGCAAAGATCACACGAAACACCTCATTCAACGCGCTACTTATGAACAGAAACAGGCTGAATTGTACTGCAAGTTAATAAGTCAAAACCTCCAACTGACGTCGCAGGAGACCTAGCTTTATGCTCCCTCAGAAATGTAAGTTTCTTCAAAATGCTAATAAAATAAGTTTTCTCTTTTTTTCTCTTCCTCTCTCATAGCACTTGCTTAAATTAATCGGATTTAATTTATCAGTCTAAAGCAAAAACGAGGTAGCCAAAGAAATTAGTGCAGCTTACAGTATAGCTCCGAGCAATAACTTGCTACAACCTGCACTGACTCAAGAAGGAGTGTGATCGGCACTAGCGTAAGTCAATCCATTAGTATGCTGCCTTGTCTTGTGCTCTTCTCTACTTCGTCCGCCTAGTTTTAAACAGCCATGTCACCAGCCATCGTCGTTTTCGGGCTTCCTAACCTAAACTCGACGCCATACATGGGGAAGTCCCTGATTAACTTGGTGGGGTAGGTAAGTAAGTGGTAGCAAAACACATCGCCCAGAGATTCTGATGAATACACAATTTGTAGAGAATTCTACTTAATGGTGATAGTACAAGCCGTATGGCCGGATCCCAAAACAGGGTGAACAATACTAAAGCCTAGATTTTGTTTTGTTAATCAGTGACTGTCCTTTTAAGTTAAAAATTTGCCGGAATTAGATGCCATTTTAGCACTTTTGCTTAAACGCATTATCAAGTCAAAGCAATAAGGTTGTTTTTGTTGGAATCGGTTCCAATTATTAGCACTGAGCTTTCATATAACAACCGCGATCGAAAAAACCTCAGGTTGAAAAGATTTTAGACCTTAAGCAAGCCTATAAATTGACAAAAAGCAAGGTGGTTAAGTTGTAAACGTTTAAATGCATCGGGTGCTTCATAAGATTTAATAAAAATACAAATTAGGCGGGCATGTTGTATCGTCATCCTCTGATTGGTTGGAAGCCCCAATTTACTCTGCTAGCTATCGCCTTATTGGTTAAGTCTAGACCAATCAAATTCACCCCCTACCTTACATGCATTTTTGTAATATATGACCTTTAAAAGACTGCCTTTTTGAACTTTAGGTGAGCCAGTTTCTCCTAACATTCCTGTCCAACTCAAAGCCAAAGCGGGGCCGTTATTTATTGACTTGTAAATAGAGTATACAGGTAAGCAATGTCCACCCTACTGAAAACCCCTTCGTCAGTCCATCGTTTTCGTCGATTCGCCCTTTCCCTCTTAGTATAAAGTAAATGAGATTTTCGGATTTACCTCTGTTTAATGGGTTGGAGAGTGAAACAAATCAAAACTTCCAAAAGAGTAATGGGAATGTAGCACTATTAGTTCCTACAAATTCTATTGGTTGTTTAAATCACGTGAATCAATCAATAGAAGATTTGGGGAAAATGCCGCGCTGTGATTGTGTTGGCGATTGGCGGAGGAGGTTGGAAGAATCCTGTTGTGGATATAACCAATACTGTGCCCTCAAAACTCCCCACCTTTGTGTCGCTTGTCCCCCTTGTATATGTCCATGCAACAGGAATCCTTGTGATCAATGTCTAAGTATGCGGGAACCTCTTGTCTCTAGAAGTGATTGCCCACCTCAGCATCAGCAGGATCCAACCTGCCACTGCAAGATGTCTCAGAGAGGCCTATACTGGCCTTGACTTGTGCACTTTATTGCTTTCTTGAAAGTGTTTGCGTTTATTTACTTTAAAATATTGTGATGCTTAAGAAGTCTTTCCAACATTTTGGTATTATAAGTGCGTTATGGTTGGACTAATTAAGAACTGTCGAACGTGGCGTTTTCTTTTTGATGGAAGACGAAGAAGCCGCGTTAGTTTCCTTCGAGCAAGCGGATGCACCTGCGTGGGCTGCTTTAAGTGATGCCTATGCAGGCTCACCAAAGCGAGACCTCCAAAGCCTCGTCGACTGTAGGCTGTGCAAGCTGAGAGCGGAATTGAATTGGCCAAAAGCCGGACGCTTTCGAATGCTGCCCCAAGTTGAGGATAGCCCGGTTGGCAATGATTGCCCACGAAAGGCGAAATTTAGAGACTTTTTCCCTACCTTTCCTCCCCTTTGGGCATACTTGTTTGTAGGCAAAACGTTCTTACGCAGAGGAAGTGACATTCGAAACCCGGCCTTAGGCACAGCCGACTGCAACTTGTAAAGAGTAGAGACGGTTAAACTTATCAGCCTTTTCAGCGGGAAAAAAACTATTCAAAAAATGGAGAAGCCATAAAACCTGGTTCTATCCCACCTTTGCTTCGCAGCCGACTACTTTGAGTGGGCTTGTGCTCTTCCAAGGGCAAGGTGAAAATCACTTGGCGAAACACCATCAGGAGAAGAGGGGGAATGAGCACGAGGCAGTATCGCCTTTTGGAGTATAAGGTATGGAGGGAGTCCTATGTGAAAAAGAAGTTGACCTTCATCTCACTAATTGACCGGTTTAGACTCTTATAAGGGGCAAAGAAGAATCATTCCCTTACACGCATCTGCTGTTAACTCTAGCGAATAAATAGACAGCCCAGGTAGCTGTCGTTTAACCTCCAGTAAGTGATAGATTGCGTCCACAGAGCACCCACACGCGGCAAATGTGGTCTCCTGCGAGCGGAGTTTTAGCGGCGCATTAGTTCCCACTTAAATGGCGGCGCATATTCTTTCACCCACTACCAGTAGTAACGGGTAGTCCTCTACGTAAAAGGCTTTCCTAAACCAATTATTTTCCAGATGATATGCTCTTCTGACATGGCCATTCACTAAAGTTGGCGGCAAAGTTCTATAGCCTTGAAATCTTGTTAGTCTCTCGGATCTTCCATCGGGTAGCCAGCGTTGTTTGCGTGACAGACGAGAAGTCTAGAACCCAATTAATCGTGCAACCTATTTATACCACATAATGCTAATGCTGAGCAAGTCACGACCAGTCCTCACAAAAAATTATGCACGATCTTTACACGATCACCCAACATCACCACCTTTGCCTTTGGTGGTACGTCCGACGCAGTGATGCGAGTTTAATCCTATGTAGCAGTAAAAAGCAATTTCCGAAGTAACCATCTTCCATTGTGAACACTATTGCTGATATTTTCAGTCTACTATTTGATCATCCAGAAAAATCGGAAATAGGCATAAATTGCACTACTTTTAAAAAGAAAAACAAATGCACAAAAAGTGCTTTGAAGTCCTTCAAGGGTTTGCATAAATTCAAATGAATTACTGACGGTACTTGGGAGCATTGAGACTTCTTTAGATTAATTTACAATATTCCACTAAGACTGGTAATAATGCTTAGGAAAATGGCAAATGATGCCTCGGCTGAATAAAACCAATCACGGAGCTGACTTGCATTTTCAATTAATTAAAAATAAGATCGGTGAAGAGCGGAACGTGTGAATGGGGCAATGAACATTTCGTAAAAATGTTTCAAGAAATCCAGTCATTCGCATTAATTATGCAGTAATTTAGGAATTTGCGAGAGGAAACCACTTTGTTTAGCTGTTAGGGAACAAATTTTTTGTGGATTTCCTCTTTACAATTGATACTATTAACCATCAAGCAAACCTTACTAAGCACTGATTAGCTGATTGTGAAATGATCAAATTGGAATTCCTCTGCTTTATCGGTCGCCATACACATAAGTTAATTTCTAAAAAACGTGACGAACCATGCCTTAAACTGTAGAAAGTCAAAAAATTGCATTGGAAGTCGCGCTTCTTTACAGAATCCGAAGAACCTCCTTACATTTGTGTTTATTTATGTCCCTTCAAGTCTAAACAATGTGTCCACTTGTAACATTCTATCGTGCTATCAAACAGGAATACCGCAATGCTTATGGCCACGACACCCACATGTAGTAGCTTTGTACAAGTGTTACAGCCGACTTTTAAGCGTTTCATTTGTAAATTTTTCAGTAATGGAGGGCTCCCGAGGGCTTTCAAGGAGGCCCATTCTGCACGTCATCGTCCCTTAGACACCTGCAGCATTGGAAGATCCATCACTCAAGAGGTGTGCTGTGAGCCCTTGTGTGGATTCCACCATTGCTGTCCAGTTGACCCCACCCCGATTGCTCTCCCTCGTCCTCCTTCTCCGCACCCTCACAAATAGGCATGACTTAAATTTTTTCACATTTCAACCAAACTTTATTGAAACAAAATGACTAATTAAAAGGCACAATACAAATAAAGGGAGGTCTGCATCCTTCTACCACCTATTGTAGCGTGGTTTATTACTGCAGGTATCGCAGGGATTTGGGCGCAGCGGACAGGTAGGCAGACTGCATTTAGCCATGCAACAGGTGGGTGATGGGCACTGCTGAGTTGGGCACTTGGTTTGACACTTAGGTGGACATTGAGTAAGACATTGTGGTTGAGGGCAGGTAGGTGGGCATAGGGTGACGCAGGGTCCACAAGTGCAAGCTCGTGGCTGATCACTGGACAGCTTGGAAGCACAGGAACCAGCCTCACAACCATTCAATTTGACATTGTACCGATTGAATGATTTGTCAAAGGTGATGCCTAAGTTGACGTCATCAGAGCCGAGAGGTGTGTTGCATTTCTTTTGGCAGCAGAGCTTTTTACAGGGTCGAGAGCAAGACATCTTGGCGCTGTTATTGGTGAACTGGAAGACTTCACTTGAGTGCGTCCCGCGTCTGCAAGATCTGCAAGTGGCAAATCTAGTGGAGTCCCACTCACCAGCTATCGATTTTCTGCCATTTGAACTCCATGTGACAAATCCTCACGTGAGGGATGCCAGACTAGTCACTACCAAATTTGCGTCCACTGGGAATGGAGTGGACCTTTGCTTCATTGTATTGACAAATGAAGGAAAGATGCTTAGGTCCCTAAGACTTTAGCTTGCATTGATAGATAGTGCCAGATACGAGGAGACATGGCACTTTTATGTAAATTTTTCTTGAAAATAAATTTAAATGGGAGTAGACAAAAGGTTGAAGACTTCCTTGTCGTTGCTTTGCTAGTAAAGGTGATGTTTACTTCCCCTCAAAACGCCAAATGTCGTCCAAGTCCATAAGGGACTCGTGGGCTACGTGCTACGTTTGCGTGCTCATGGCAACTTTGACAGGAACATATGTGTGTACAACCGTATCGCTTGCGCCGTCCTCATGAATGCCGGCTAGTATCATCTCTTGGGTATCTTTACGGAAGTCGGTGAGTCAATCACCCATCCAGTACTAGGAATTCTTAGTGGTGCGCGTTCTTGAAAGTGACCACTGAGCTTTGACTGGGAGTTATCAGCCGTCAAATCACTGTTTCATTGTCGCGACATTCTGAGCTTAAAGTCGCTTAAAGGTTTTGCACCTGCACTTCACCACGCCCTTCTGCTGCGTACACGATCGCTACCAAGACAAACCCACCACTTACTTGTGCTGCTTTCCAAGGAAACTCCTATTTCCCCAAGCCAAGAGAAGAATACCAAAATTTTCTAAATCTAACAGTTAATCACACTTTAAATTGCCTTAACTGCTGGAAGTTAATGAAAGCTTGCCCGATTCTATTTGATAAACTACCTTTTCCTTTCCTGATTAGGTAACTAACATGAATCGCAAATCTGAAGATCAAATCATCAACTTATATTTATAGCCTAAAAACAATGAAAAATTGAATATCAAAACAAAAGCACACGCAAAAGTTCATTTCGGCTGCCTAGTCCATCGGTCGAACCGCTGTACACCGCAATCAGTGCATGGATCAAAGGGATCTTTGGAGTCGTGAGGAGAATTAGGGGTCAGAGTATTACCCTTTGTTCCCCCCGGTCCAACTGGATCTGGACAGGTCTCCACCTTGTGACATGTTATACATTTCAGAGGTTTCGTATCCACCGAATAGCAGGGCTTTCTACATATCGGTTTCATGCAAGGAAAGGCACTCGAACCATGGCAGACATTGAAGTTGTTACATTGTTGACTGACGGCGGATGACATGGTGGAGATTAGATGCCCTCTGTGCCTGAGAGGTGGGAAAAAGATCCTGTCCTCGTATTGATCTCCAAGAGTGAGACACGTGACCCGGTCCGGATCCTGTGAATCACCTAAGAAAGGACAATATGACAACAAGTAAAACCTAGTTATCTACGAACAACGAGACATGAAATAGTTTTTAGGAGGTCATTGCACAAGAGACGGGATGTAGCTTTGTTATCGAAAAGTGGTAAAGCTAAGAAGCCACAAATCTAGCCAAAATGGGTCTGAGAAGTACCACAGAGAAATAAGACGCTCTGACATCATTCATTAATGTTGGATTGTGTTCTACGGAGAGTATAGCCAATACTCCGACCGTTTTCCAAAGAGCATTAGCCCTACTAACCATCAAGTATAAGGTAGCTGATCATTTTCGTTCTGGGGCATATACTGTTTGAATTCCTTCCATCCATCTACTCGCCCACCCATCCATTCCAAAAAAGCTTCATTGAGCTCCAAGATGTATTACTAAGAACATTTTTTTGAATTATGAAATATTAAGTATTTTTAGCCTAAATACCAGCTCCGAATTCCCAATAGAATTTAGTCTTTTTAAAGAATTAGTAAAATCATTATTCATCAAAAGTGATCACACAACTGAATAGTGCAAAGTAAAAGAGCAGAAAAGAGAACAAGTAAATTCCTGTCATTAAGTCCACTTCTTTGACCATTTATCATGACGCTCAATGTCTATGCAGGTTCCGCACTGATTCAGGGGACATTTGGGTCCATAGGGCGGAACAGGGTCGGGAGCAGGCGTAGGATTGCAACAGGGTCGACAGGGGCTGCATGGACGTGTCATTGGCTCACACGGTGCATCTTTGCGGCATCGTCGATAACGCGATTCGCAGAGCACTTGTGGCGTCTTGGCAGTCTCCTCGCAACGCGGACATTTTGGATTGCAGCACTCATCACAAGGCTTTTCTGGAACGTAGAACGTGTCCTTGGTGCACATTGTAAGGTCTACCTATATTTACACCTCTCTGGAAGCACGACCCTGATGCCAAAACTGGCGAAATGTGTCCCAAGAGGGAACCTCTATTGATCGCCCCTCCAGGTTGGAGCTTTGATTTAATCACATGCATGCGATCGTCCGTCACGAGATGACATCATCAGGTGATCATGGGCACCTAAAGCGCATGGCCAGAATACTAAGACACCTCAAAAAATTCGTTGAATTTTTATCAAAACGTAACCGCCTTAGGCCACCTATGTTATTCCGGTTTTGGTTTTTACCAAGTTCAAGCAGTCCATACTTAAAAGAAGATCTATTTGAGAAATGATTTGAAGATCCACTAAGCCATTCAATCAACTGTATTCGTTAGCTTATTATTTATTGAAATTATCTACCTGCTTCATGTCAAAATGCATCGTGAATCTATGCCAAAATAAGAAGTCTCTCAAACTTCTGAGTCTTTTACTGCCCACAGGCAAGATTAAGTGCAGCTAGAGTTTCGGCAGTGACTGCAAATTAGTGCTACAGTTAAAAGATGAGCAGATGGCGATTTCAAACCCATTAGTGGGATGTGTAGAGGAGTGAATCATGGAAAAGAATTCCGGTAAAGTATAATAAATTATAGAAAACAAATCCAAGGCTGGTTGCGCAACAAAATATAAATGCACTCAAAAAATCTTCTTTGAGACAGCAATTTCGTGATCGGAAATCAACAATGCACGTAAAAGCGTTGTCATCACTGCCAAATCGTAGCCTAGGATTTTTCTCCTAATCTTTCTTTTAGTACGAGGCAGCAAGATCAACCAACCTCGTGATTCCATCTGCAAAGGCTTACCGTTCCTTTAGAAACGATAAACCCTCAAATCAGGGAAAACTTATCTGAATATCATCAATCCCCCAGGCAACGCCTATTTACTGGGTTGGGACACGGCTGACCCAAATTCCAAGTTTAGGGACAAAAATGCTGCGATGATAATCTTGCCTAAATATTGTAAAATGCGTATCATTGTTTTTAAACTCTCACCACCAACAAGAATATGTAAAGCAATAATAGTCTTTAAGACAAAGTACTGAGGGTGTTTACAGCTCTTACTTGAGTTGTCAATGCCGTACAGTTCTAAAGTACTTTTTGGAGAAGTTATATTTAGACCAGCTATAAACATCGATTTTTATGTAGCTTGTCGAAAGATTTATTTAAAAGTAGTTGCATTGAAATTTTGACGACCTTACCCCAGAAAAAGGCATTCGCTCCTTAATTAACTTGAGTTTTATTTTAAAAATTCAAAGATCCAGGAAGTCAATAAAATGATTACCTTAACTTTAAACCCCATGAAAATGCTCACAACCTTTACCATGAATCCTAATGATTGCTCATCCTCCACGCATCCATACGTTTCAGTAATTTACCCTTAGTAAAACATAATGATGTTTAGTTGCTACTCGCATTTAACTTGCTTAAAAATTATTTCTGACTTCGTTTGTTTAAACTTGTTTTGTTTAAGTTCGCGCTCTTATCAAGCGGCATAGTCTGTGTGCTGCATTGTGATATCTGGGTGCTTGCTTCTTTCAAGCGACAGTTTTTTATTAACCCCCATACAATGCTTAGAAAAGCAGATGAGGAATCAAAGAGAAAGGTTAGTGCTTTCATTACACTGTCGACTTGTTAGTGGAGATTATATTTTTGCCTTTTTGACGGTTACTCGACTGTAGTCGACGGCTCTTATTTTGTTATTTATTCATAAAAATAAGTTGTCACCACTACTCTATATCCCATAAAGTTGCTCGGCATAAATTCTCGTCATTAATGTGGGACTGAATATCGGGTATCCATTCTTTACTTTTAATAGGCTGAGGAAGCTGAAGTAGCAAAGGCTCTTGAAGACTTTGAAAACACATTTCAGCAGTCGAATAGGCTTGATCGAGCCTGGGTCAAAGGCGGTGTTGTAAATCCTGGCAGTGAAGGTAATAATGGTCTTTTTCTATCTTGAAATTAGCATCTACAGAACATAAATCCGATGTCCCTTCCTCTTCATCTATCTATAAGCCAGTTTCTAAATTTGGCGATAAGTCCTTAAAAACTTTGGAAGTTGGGAAAGTTGAATCCAAGGGTGATGGTTCGAAGAAGCCAGTGAGGTTCTTCTTTTTTAACAACTTTTAGATGATTGGAAGAAAGTCTGGCCAAGCTAAAAAGATGACCAATCTGGAGTTGTTCAAGGAAGAGTTAAAAAGGTACTTCTATTCACAAATTTGTATTGTTATTCTCAGTCTTCAAAAACAACGCGAGCAACGGCATCAATTGCGACAGCAGAATCGTGCCAGAGGGATATCTGAAAGCAAGATACCTCAAAGTCTACCCACCTCCGAGCTCTCTCTGGAATACGACGATTTGGACAAGAGAAACCGATTGCGAGAGTGTAAGATTGGTTTATCAGCGTCAGGATAACTCTTCTAGATGGCTACCCATATGACGAGGACACCGACAAGTCCACAACCAATCTTTTTCTTGGTAATCTATGTCCAAAAATGACGGAGCAACAGCTCTGTGATATATTTGGGCGCTATGGACCCTTAGCTAGTGTCAAAATCATGTGGCCACGCACGGAAGAACAGCGTGCCGTGGCTAGAAATTGTGGTTTCGTGGCTTTCATGAATCGCATTGATGCGGAGCGGGCCCTAGAAAATTTGCGGGGGAAGGAGTTGATGGGCTATGAAATGAAGTTGGGTTGGGGCAAAACTGTCCCCATCCCTGTCTACCCTGTCTACGTCCCACCCCTCCTTCTTGAGCTCATAAAGGCACCCTCGCAATCCGGCCTTCCGTTTAATGCACAACCTCGGGACTGGCTGAAATCTCTTAGGCCTGCAATTAAGGAACGAGCGAAGCTTGTTACTGAGTCTATTGGTAATGGTGACTCCGCTACACACAGCTTACCCCCAGCGCCCGATCGGTTTCCTTATAACATTCATACCATGCCGAAAGAGACGTTCGCTAAGGTACATCTGGCGTTTAATGGACTCTTCTAGTATACTTTTTCTCCAATTTATTGCGTGATTTCTTTTATACTCGTCTCTAGGTGTTGGAGGAGGCCGTCGTTAAGGTGGTCATACCCTCGGACAGAACGGTGTTGGCTACGATTCATCGACTGATTGAATTCGTTGTGCGGGAGGGTCCTCAGTTCGAGGCTGCCATTATGCACAGAGAGGAGAAGAACCCTCAATATAAGTCAGTTTCAAACTTTCCTCCTCTTTTTCTCTTCCCTTATCTTCCTAACAATCGCTGATGAACTGGACTGTCTTTGCCCACCAGGTTTCTCTTTGACTATCAGACCCCTGAGCACTTGTACTATCGGTGGAAATTGTGGTCCATACTTCATGTAAGTTACCGTCTCCCTATGTTCTTATAAATGGCCGTCCTAACTGCTGTCTTATCGCCGGATTAAAGGGAGAACCGGTAAACAAATGGAGTTTGGAAGAGTTTCGGATGTACGACGGTGGACCGCTGTGGAGACCACCACCGATTAACTTCTTTACCAACGGAATGCCAGAGGAATTGGTTGAACCTGCTGACTACCCAGTTGCCCCGGGCTATCATGCTGGAAGAGGCGACGATGCGGTGGAGTATGTTGACTTTTCTTAAAACCTTAAAGGTTGTTGAGTGAGAATTCCCCGCTGATTGACAAAGATTACTTTATTTTGCTTCTTTGCTTGAATATTTTGAGTAAAAGTAATTGACTCCGAAATAATAGGTGCGCAAAACGAAGTTGAAATCTAGAGTTTTCGAAAAATGGTAGTTTTTAAAGCTCTCTTTGATTTCGGTCCTTTAGGTATGTAAAATCAGTTCAAAAGTGGTACTTCTGAACGTTGACTACTTTGCATATTTTCATTTCTATGTGAACTCCGAATCACTTAGATTGTGCGTAAGCCTCCATGATTTCTGTTAAAATATCTTCATTGATAAAAAAGTCCTATTTTGAGTGGCTGGTTGCTTTGAAAGGATGAATCAATTTATCATTTCATCCGATTTTGCAAAAATCCATCCGCTGATTGTTTTCATTCACCTTAGATCCGGCTATACCTGGTTTGTCCGTTTTTCTCACATTTCCTTATTCATTACTCAAGAAAGTCCTCTTTGGATTTTCCATCTACCTAATATCAATCCACCCACTCACTCCATGTACATCTGCCCGTTAGTCTGTATCTGGCCGATCCGTTTATCTTAGATCACTTGTTTTATCCATCGAAAAGTTTATTCCCAATTCACCCATTAATCGTGGTCATCCATCCATCCAAGATTTACGAATCCATCTCATCCTTGATTCATCCAGCCATTTATTCAATCCTCATTCCTGATCCATCCTGCGGTTGTCTATTCATCCATTTTGGATCTCTAGGTCCATCTCTTTCCCTCCTTTAGTTTTGAAGGCCGTGACGATGCATTTCGTCGTGGCGTTAGTGGCGACCGCGGCGGAACCTTAGGTCTCACCGAGGCTCAACGCAGTCGCCTGGCAGTGTGGATCAACGACCTGGAACCTTCCCGAGCCCAGGTCGGTGACGTGATGCTTTGGTGTCTGGAACACGCCGATGCTGCTCCAGATGTTGTCGATATCATCGCCAAGTCGCTGAAACGACCCATAGGCAAACTGGTCCCGGATGAAGATATTGAAGATGACGGTAGTGGTTGTGATGTATTCACCGTAAAACCGGCTACATCGGTTTCATCAGTGGTTGCGAGGCTCTTTCTCACCTCCGATATTCTATACAACTCAGGGGCGAAGGTGCCTAATGCATCGTTTTACAGAAAATGGTTAGGTTTCTTTCACCTTTTAGAAGCTAAGAGGCCATTAAACCGTATCAAGAGATTACTCTCTTCCGCTTTATAGCTTTGAAAGTCGACTGTTTGAGATTTTCAACGAAATCGGATCGTTTTTCCGTGAATTGGAGAGTAAATTGAAGGCAGAACAACTGAAGGTTGGCTTGGAGGTTTTAACCGCTTCAAGTTTCAGTGACTTGCTGATGTTTTTTTTCATGCCTTCAGCAAAAGGTGATGCTATGCTTCCGGGCCTGGGAGGAATGGGCTATATATCCCAACGATTTCCTTATACAATTGCAAAATGTCTTCCTTGGATTGACGCTCAATGTAAGTGGTCACTTTTTTCACGTATTCATTCTCTTCACACATTCTTGAATCGCAAATTATGCCAACATCCCGGCCCCACCGATCTCCTCACCTATTTTTCCGTAAATTCCTCCGTCTCTGACCAGTCTCTTCCCGACCCATCCATCTCTATCAATGCACGTGTCGAATAAGGCATTCGCTTCTGCATTATCTAATCCTGATCTACCCATAAGCCCTAAATTCATTCATTCCATCACTCAACCATGAATCAGCCATCCTCCTGGATCCATTCATTCTGATTTCACTTAGCAATCCCCAACCCATTAGGTCATCCGTCGCGTGTCCACTTCAGATTCATTCATTTATTCCAGGTTTGTCCACCTCTTCATGCACTCTGGTTTCATCTACCTTTTATGTCATATTCACTTATCCCCCATTAACCCACTCATCCCCAACCCATCTATTACATTTCCCTCGTTCCCTGAAAATTCAATGGACTCTCGGTAGCCAGATTGCTTTACAAGGTATTAGTTGGCGATGCTTCACCCGTGTTGCTCTTGTCTGACTGAATACCATTAACAATTCCTTTCATCACTTTACGAAGCCTTTTCTGTCTCTTTTCAGGTGGCATCCAAGAAGTCCACTAACATTTCTGAAATGGATGAAGAAGCAGTTGCCGGTGCGCCTTTAGAACCCAATGTTGGCATTTCCAAGTCTAGTGGGATGACTGCAGTTACAGCCAACGTGGAGTCTCTGGACGGTGCTCCACTCGTTCAATACGACGGTGATCCTCTAGATGTGGACGGCAGTCCATTGAATGTCGGTGGCGGTAACAACGAAGAGGATGAAGACATTGAGGGCGTACCGTTGGATACCGCGTGGGTTCAGCTCCATTGTGAATCCCTCCTTGTTCTCCAAATCTCCCTAATTTTGTTGTGGCTATCCTCCAGTTCCATAAAATCGCGAGACGTTAATAAACTGTCGTCAGCTGCAGCACCACTTTTCGTTCCCTCTAAATGGGAATCAATCGATCCAGACAAGGCAGCCGAGGAGGCGGTCACTTCAAACCGATGGGATCTCTTTGCCGATTCCTCTACCTCACCTTCAAAGCAACCTTCATCCGCGGGCGAAATTGCGGCCTCTAAAGTCGACATCGATGAAGACGTTGATGGAAAGTTGGTGATGTGCTACTTAATTTACTTAAGTAAAAAAATCTTGTTCATAGTTTTTTATCTGTTTAGACCACTGGATGGATTTGGTGCAGCTGGTTTGGGTCTCGTTGCCTATGACGACGACGATGCTCTGTCCCCATCACCGCCACCGCAGCCAACAAATGAACCGATCTCCGATTCTCGCCGCCAAGCATTGCGGGAGATCGAAATGAAGGTGGTGAAGTATCAGGATGAGCTTGAAGCCTGTCGAAAGAGGGGCGATTCATCGGTTACTGATGAAGCAATTTCCAAGGTGAGACCTGTGTCATTTTCATTCTTCCTAACCCAACCATTCAGCAGGTGGATCGATTCCGTGAACGACTTCTGGAGCGGTTAGAAGAGACTCAAGAAGCATCGGCGAAGTCCTCGTCCTCCAAATCGATCGGCAACAGCAAAAATTCTTCGTCGTCTAAGTCTTCAAAGCCGCCTTTCTCATCCGCTTCGTCGAAACGACGCCATGGTAGTAATAGCAGCACCAGTAAACGACATGATGACAATCGTTCTTCACGTCGTCGGCATTCGAGGTCTCCTGACGACGGTACTTATTCAGCCTCCCCGATGTCTGGAAAACGGCTTCGAGAAGAGTTGGCAGATGTGAGGGAGGAGGGTGAAGCTTCTGATGATGAAGGTGGTAACACCCACAACCAGCATAAACGGTCCAGACGTCGGGATGACGAGGTAATTTCGAGAATCTCACCAAACTGTGGGGTGGTATTCCACGGCTACTCACCTGCTCTGCCTTGTAGAATCGTAATCGTGATCGATCACCTCGAAGATCGCGTCGTTCACGCTCACGATCGCCGTCACCGTCGAGGCGTCGAGGTGGAATCACCGCGCCTTCAAGTAAATCTTCTCAAAAGAAGAAATAATGATATAAATCATTTTGTACATAGTCCCTTTTCTGTCCCGACTCTTTACTTCTTCCCTTGTTCTATCGTTTCCATCACCACTGAAATCGACACCAAGACCTATAGATTCGGGTTCGGTTAAAATGTGAAGTTTTTAGAAAAGGCTCCCTGTGTATGTTTATACATAATATACTTGCGCTGAATAATCGATTTACTGTGTTTTAATACTTGTTCAGGGCCGTCATTTTTTCCACTAAATGCACTAAAAAAGCATTCAATCGCATAAAATTGGAGGCGAATCTCATGGTAGCCCTGATCTTGCTTGAAGATGGGCTTTCCCCACTATTGGACAATTTTGTTTAGCTGTGTGGGCCGATCTTCGTTGGAATCTGGCTGCCCGGCGGTAATCCAGCTGGGTGGATGTTGGTTCGTGGGTTCTGTTTGGCGCGAACATCAGGTGTCGCCTCTTGCGAGATCGTTGGAGACCAGATCACGGTACGAGTTTCACTTTGTAGAAGAGACACTAGTGACTCACTGGTACTCTTTTGAATGGTGAAGGCTAAAAGCGTCGGTGCTAATGCCATCCTACGTGCCGATTCACGAGACAGAGAGCTTCAAAGGACCCCAATATGTCTCACGTATGCTCTAAATGTTTTGTTGAGAAAGCGATGCTTTTCAATTTTTCTCCAAACGAATATCACACACTTCTGAGTCGGACACTACTCAGATGTGATGTACCAGTATATACGTGTATTCGGTGGCGCACTCCATCAGGATCCCAACCAGAACAGTCAATAGAGACGACTTCAATACGAAAGTTTTTGGGTTCTGGCAATGCGTACATGCCTGCCAACTGGATTGGCTGCACCGCTGAACTAGCTGAATGAAGTTCGTAGACGGTCACCATTCTCATGCCTCAATTTTAGTGGCCTTGACATTACCGAGGTTATTGCTACACGGTAAGATTGTTCTTGCATGCTCAGGGCATATTTCCGAATGTTGGGTATCGAATTGGAGCTTCGAGAATGTTAAAATGGAATACTTCCTTCCGTATTTGTGAATACCCTTCCAGAAATGGATTGTAGAACGAATGGTGCGTAGGTTGCATTTCCCTTTGCAAATATTTAATTTTCCCTTTTTTACAGGTATAATGAATTTATTTGGATGCTTTGCTAGTAGCGTCTGTTAATGCTATGGTAAACTAATGGGGGGAAAGGCTCTATTAAGTATCTCCTACCGTTTATGGTAGAGGAATAACGAAGCTTACCTGGCAACCTTGCTTATTAGATGACTTAAAGGGCTGGTAAATCGCTTCTTTTTAACACTGAAATTGGCGTCGGCGACACTTGTCCAGCGAGGATATCGGACTAAGCGCCCGGAAGCCGGCAGATGGGATGAGATCGAGGTGCAGAGAAGTAGAGTATAATAAAAATAATGCTTTACTTCTCGAGACGTGGAAACTTACGCTACACTTCCTTTTTTGGGAGGAGGAAAAATCTCCATGAATTAAATAGACGGTAGAAAAGGTGTTAAAAAGTCGAGGATTACTTTTCTAGCCACTTCGAGTCTCTTTTAGAGGCAAATAATTGCATGTATTCAGAGTACAGGAGTACAGAGTTCAGAGTTCAGACGCTTGTTTCACTTACAAGTTTTATTACTTAGAGTTGGCAGATGTCAATCCTACCTGCTTGTCAAGCCTCTGCGAATGCAAAAAGCATAGTTAGCAATTTTATTCTGTTATAAACCACATATGCGACAGGTCAGACATTCTTCTCAAGCTGAAGTGTTGTAAGATGGGTAGTGGTATAGCTGTGTTCGTGTGTTCATTTGTTTGACGAACGACGTAAAATCTCGCATCACAAGCCTGTTAACCAGTCAGTTACCAAAACGGCAAACATTTCTTTCACAGTAGAACGCTTTTATAAGGAAAAACAGGGAAAGCAGAACATTGTCATCCGTCACATGTTAGTGTCTGGAATTGGGATACAATACATCCATCTTGCCTTCCGTGACTTTCACTTCCTACTTGATGTGAGTGTGCATGAACTGTCCCACCGATATTCGGGTTAAACATCGGTTAAAGTTGTGCTTGACATGTTGATCTGGAAAGTGTCTATGATTGGACAATCTCCTCTCCTCACTGTGATGGGTCTACCCCTGATCACACCGGTCAGAAAATTTGTCTGAACCATTCCTGGATGGAGAACTCGTGACAATCCAAAGTCAATGCAGATCAACGGTGCAGACCCAAGATCACAATGTCCCATCGGAATTTGTTTTAGATGAGAATGCACGGAGAAAAGGTATGATCTTCTTTTAGAACGGAAAGTGTAAGAAACTCCGAAACAGCAACCGGCTGTATTCCATCTTTTGACATATCCATCCATAAAGAAACCTGCATCTACCCATCTACGCACACCGTCATGTAAACAAGCTATGGTGTTAACAAACACACTAGACGTGGACAACTGTTCCTCCCCCTAGACACTGATAAGATAACGTACCTCAACTGACTCATCGCCATACTGCCACCTTCTAAATATCCCCCAAAAAATTTCACTTATGCTGGCCAAAGTGATAAAAGATCGAAGGCACTTGTTGTTTATGCGCTTCTTCAGGGCGGGTCGCGTTAGATCCAGTCCCAATCCACCCACCTCGCATAAATAAATCTACTGGATGGCAGATGAGGGGGGGGAGAGAGGGGAAGCAAGGTGAATCATCTGGTATCACGCCGGCAAAAAAAATGTCACACAGTAGTCGGGCTGTGACAGAAATGCCATGGAAGCTAGATCTCGGTCGGTACAACGCACATTGCCATATCTCTTTTTCCCTATCCCAGTTGAAAGAAAGGTTAAAATGAAGCGCATTTCTATGCGGTAAAGGGTCAATATTACGAATTTTGTTAGCCTCTTGTTAAAGAATACTTCCATTTAGTGGGCAAATACGTTGTAGGCGAATTAAAAATTTCCATCTGAATTCGGTGCATAAATTGTCGATTCCATTTTCTGTACACCACTTTGATTGGATTTCATTCGAGAGTGCTACTCACTAATCGATAAAAAATATCGATTTTTTTACTTGCTACTGCATCGATCAACTTCTAAGTGGAGTTTTGTTAGCGCAACAGCGCAGACAGGTAAGTAACAAAATTTTCCTTCTTTGTTTGTTCCTAGGACCCAGTCACTTCATTCTTTTTGTAATTTTTCTTCCTGAATCGTGGGCTATCTGGTCAACGGGTTTTGAATACCGAGAGAAATGTTCCGATTTATTACTGCATCTGAGATATGATCAGTGATTTGGGTGTATTGGATAACCTCTAAACTATGTACTTACCTATGTAACTTTGCACGTTGGTAAATTTAAAGTAGGAAGATAGCGTCGCAAAATTACCTCTCTCTGTATAATGGAGTATTTAAATAAGTTCACAAGTTACTTTACTTTTTAGTGATATTGTGAGGATTTCAGTGTTCCTCTATTCCGGGGCTTGCAGGCTAACAAGGCTTGGAGAATCGGAGTTCGATTCTAGCTCTGGGGTTAAAGACTTGCAACCCCTCACGTAATTGACATAAACGGACAGCTTCTCACCTAAAAGGCATATTCAAAAATCACGTATTACAGTATCTACAATGCATTTTTCTCTACAAACTGGCTAATTTATCAGAAATTCAAAACCGTAAAAGTCGGCACTTTTCCTTTTATTCTCTAAAAAGTGGTATAAAATGCTCAGTCAAATTAAAAATTTGTGAAGAATCTTTTTACACCTAAAAATCCCAATAAATTAAGCACTCCTGTCAGCAGCTTCAATTGGAAATAACAAGTCATGAATCAACTTTGGGCAAGGGAGGAAGAAAATGCCATTTTTTGTCTTGATTCTTGTGTAGTCAAAAATAGAAAATTATGTAGCCTACGAACCACTCGCTCATAGTTCAACTTTTATTGCGATAAAATGCTAATCCTTTAGAAGCTAGTGTGAATGGACTGATCATTTATTTCAGAAATGACGTGTTTTCATATGCTCTACAGGATTTACTCGGGAATTGATGAGTTTTCTCAGCTTTCATTATCACGAGGTGCAACTTGAAATATCTTTTAAAATTTTTTTGCAACGAAAACTAGATTTGATAATTTTAGCAGTACTGCTATTTAATTGACTGGAGCCATGAAAAACAAAGGCAGCTTAATAGTTATCTTTTTATTCAAAATTGCAAAAAAATATAAGCAAATTTTTAAGTCACTATTCTCAGGAATGCATGAAAGTTGGTGATTTTCTCACTTCAAGGTCTTAATGTAACAATTATTAGTAATTGAATGCCTTTATTTTACTAAAACACGCAACCCTTTTTTCTATTTCCAAAGGTTTTCTCTTAACGCATCGTAGTTACCCTCATCATTGAAAGGCACTATTTGTGGAACCCATCTATCAGGCAGCTCTTGCGCCTTAATGGCAGGAGATTGAGACCTCATTTGTGCCAATGATACATTAGTTGGGAGAAGACGCTGTAGCTGAAAGCTGAATGATTTTTTAGGAATTAATGATTAGGTACTCCTTGGTTATTAACTTTCTTCCTCGGCCACAGTTGAAAGTGTGGCACTCATTAGACGGCTGAGGTGTATGTAATGTCCAGCGATTCAAAAAATTCTGCGGGTAATATGAATGCATGATAAATTATCAACATTCGATGCATAACTCACGATTCTTCAAAGCACTTGCTTCTAATTCTCCTTTTGCTGGCATGAACAACTCTGGGTAGGATTGGTACACCTTAACTCATTTCACACTGAGAAAGGTTTGGAACCAGAAATATATTATTTTTAATTCACATTTATGGAGAATTCAGGCCTACCTATCCTGTTGAGTGAATACAGCTGAAATAACTATTTACGTGTTTGCCACAAGCTTAGTCCAAGGAGGTCTCAGTTGTAAGGTCATTGTAGCATCCATAATCAGAACAACATTTGGATGCATTGGACTACACATCCTCCCATCTACAAGCCAGGAAGGGAAATGCCTCGATGAATTTTCATAGCAAAAATTGAGGAGTCATTGGTCGTGTCAATCGTCCAGGATTGGATTGATGGATTCAGGATGGAGGAAGGGGAGGCGTTTACAATTCCAGAAGGAAATATTCTACTTTAACATTCTTATTCGAAGATCTTAATCGATACTCAACATTCTGAAATATACCCTAAGCATTTTTAGAACAATGCCCAACCCATGGCGATCTTACCGTGTGGCAATGCCCACCGTAATGTCAAGGCTATTAAAAATAAGGCATGAGAATGGTGACCGTCTACGAACTTCATTCAGCTATTTCAGCAGTTTTGGTTAGGATCATGACGTAATCTGTGATCACATAAGTATGCTATCAGTACGTGGCATCCGTGTATAATCCTTTTTTATCAAAACATAACGTGGATGTGATTCCTACTTCATTCAAGCGTCTTGCCTCTAGATACAAGCAAACAAACAATCTAACCTCAGCCTCAATCCCAACTACCTCCACTTCTGTCTCCCCTTTATCTCTTAGCCACCTATTCTATTTGACTGGCATGTAATAGTGTGATAGTGAGGTGAGGTCAAGACAATGTAGTAGCCATTTGCGTATAGAAGGGAAATGGAGATGAGGAGGGCGCAACAATGTCTCCACTTCATTCTCATATATGTTCTACGGTGATGGTGGGAATAAGATATGAGATTTCAAGTTGTCTCGTAGGGACAAGAAGAGTTTTTTCCTATTAAGTAAATTGGAAGTTTTTGGAAATAAATTTAAGAAGTTTTCTTGAATGCTTTTGAGTTTTTATTAAATCGTGTACATATCAATCCTATTCGTAGTATAGCATGCAAACAAAAAAGAATGAAGAGAGTTTAGTCGTTTAGGTATGATGTGATTAGCACCTTAAAGGCACGGGGTGCGTAGCAGGTCATTTGGAGATGTCCATCCATATATTTGTTCACTTACGGAAGGTTGAAAGAGAAGTGAATGTCAGCTCTTATCACAAGCCAGACAATTGGTCAGCGAACAAATTTTTACCTTAGCACGGTAATGGAGAATCTTCCTTCCTTCCATTCATGACGTGATAAATCTATCTCCGAGGGATTTTACCATAGCGATCGGATAGTTTGAAATATTTTTGGGGCACATTGTACCACCACATCTCCGAATAATTACCACCCATAACTAGAAGTTTCTGTAGATTTACAACCGTATCGTATTTAATCCACAAATTAGACAAGCTCTTATCGCCTACATCAACTTAATTTGAGGACTGAAAATAAGGGAAGTGGTCTAGGGTATATATATATTCGTCCTCTGCTGTCTTGTTCTTCTTCTTCTTCTTCTTCTCCTCCTCCTCCTCCTCCTCCTCCTCCTCCTCCTCCTCCTGCTCATTATTGCCTAGTTCCCGATTTCCCAAATTATTGTCATCTTCTCAGGGCAGCCTTATTAATCACATGGAATGGACTAGATAATTGAGAAAAGTGGTAAACTTAAAGGCGCAGTACTTAATGAAGGTGGAATATGCATTTAGCTTTTGTCGTGATTGGAAAGGATTATGCACAGGCATCATTTACTTAAAATTGTCCACCTTCGTCTAGAAGTGCAACTAGCAATTATGCTGAAATTACCCTAAATTTGCCCATTAGTGTCTGTTAGCTACAGGAAGACTATTCGTGCTGCTGCATTGAAATAAAGCTTTGGTATATTTTAGTTCCTCTTTTTCCACCTCTAAAAATGCACATTACACATGGCATTTTAAAGTTTATACACTGCCATTGTCATATTAGAGCTTCAATTTAGCCCCAAAGTGACGTTTTATGGATCTCGGAACTATAAGTTTGCCCTAATTTAAAAGTGCCCATCTCGCCTTTTTGACACGGAATAGGGGAACCAATTTGTGATCCATCGACTACTGGTAGCCCAGAGTGGATTATTATTACCTGACCAGTCACCATCCACGTCATTCAGCAGGAACGAATTACAGAACGCCAGTAATTACCAACATTAGCGTCAAGACGAGGTAAATCACCTTAACTACGCCTCTGTTCCATGGGAAATGGGCTGCCAGAGAAGCGCATTTAAATAAATTCCAATTTGCCTGTCGATAAGTTGTCCTATCACTATGACATCCATGAGAACCAATCTAAATTTAGGAATATGACGTCGTCTCAAAATACAGTAAAACAGTTGACCATTCCAATTCATGCGTTAATTTTGATGAAGTCTTTGAAGTAACAGCAGAGCCGAGCAAATAAGTACTGGCTCCGACATTTACCAGGTGGACGCAATCCCCCTTCCCTGCCATGACCAGGCGTCGCACATCTGTCCCCTGATTGGGTGGATAAAGCCAGTCATTAAAAAGTTCTTCTAATTTCATTAACGAGCATCCTTTTCTCTGCCAAGAAAATCTTCAACTCAAGCACACGCCCTACCACCTACCTATTCAAACCCACTTCCCACTCAATAATTCCTATCCCTTTCGTCCAATAATCCGATGACGTCCAGACAAACCGAGATTCAACGGATCCATTTTCACTCCATGTTGCAGTGTCAACTTTTGTCCAACTTTGCCTCATTTCCCGAATGGTATCCGCAAGTTTGAAAAAGAAGAAGTTGGTGGAAAGACATGCAGAAAGGTTCAAATTAGTGAGTCCATAAGCTGGTACTGAAAGATGCCGACTAAACACACTTGTGGCTTCGTCATTCTACAGGGCCAACTACGGTGGAGATAGCAGGTGATGTTAAATTCTACATCCTGCTGGATATTTATGTTTCAGGTAGGAAAGAAATTGCCTGGACTGTATCCACCCGAAAGTGAGAGTTGAGCTAACAACCAAGGTATCATACACCACCACAATGTCTGTGTTGTGCCGATATCCACTGCCTCCTAATCAGCAAAAATCTAGTCTCTAGTAAAGTTGTACCTTTGAAGTGTAAGAAAATGCAGAGGCTGTCAACGCATATTTGGTGCTTTTTAAGCACGCCCGATAAATGAATAGATAAATAACTGAAGAAGAAATCACTAACAAGTTGATGGTTTTGATTTGGAATGCTAATTTCTATTTCCTCTATCATTCATCATGTTTAAGCCATTTGGTAGGAAAGGGGAACTCTCCCTGCGATACTAAAGACCGATTGAAGTCAATTCTGCCAGCGTTTGTGTGTGGATTTTAAACTACACTACACAAATGTAAATTTCCATAAATCCAAGTACTTCCACCTGGAATTGCAAAGGAAGTCTCATTCACTTCTGCAAGTTAAAAAGCTCCTTCATGCACAAAAGGGAAGGAGAAAATCGACGTTTGTGAGTGGCACGAGATCCAATCAAAATGTGCTCTAGGCAACCAGTTGATAATGCAGCAAGTAATCAAACTTCCCTTATCAGCTCCAACTGATAATAAACGTTTCATTTTATTCAGTAGAATGGACTAAGGAGGTCTTTTTCTGCAAATCCATTGGCTACTGCTTAAATAGATAACCAATCGGAATTTTAACTGCTTCTGACAACTAATAGACGTTGGGTTCCATTCCAAAGAATCGATTGTTTTTGTGATCGAAAAATGTCACTAATCTGGAAGCCAAAATACCAGTCTCATAATGAACGCGTTAGACACTGAGCATAAGGCTCTACCACATAAAACACAGAACGTCTCAGGACTTGATTAAATATTCAATGGATCCCTTCAACTCGCAAATCTTCAAAGCAGAGATCACGAAACCCAGGGGCCAAAATGTCACCTGTGCCCACTCCGTTGCTATGTTAACGCAGTCCCATCTTTAAAAAGACTGGGACAGTATTCAAGCAACCCATATTTGGAGAAGAATTTGCGAGACCTCAGTGAAGAAGAAGAAGTATAAAATACCATTATCTATCTGATTCCGTATTGTTTTCAGGGCATACAACCACCCTCTCCACAAAGCTCCTCATTGAAACTAGCACCCAGGAGTAAAAACTCATGATCTACATGCCAGGACAGTCATTGGATGGACTGTGCGTATGGATAGTGAGACGGATTTTCAAGATATCTAAATGGCGGAGAACCTCATCGGTCGGCCGTGTTTGCCGATGAGCAAATGGAAGGATGGAGTGAAGGACTTAGGTCCTAAATTTTACGTAAACCATTGCGCAAAATAACAATTCTACAATGACAATGGCGATTCGCGGTATGCAAAAAACATTGCTACAAATATTGTACAATTCACTTCATTCCCCCTTCATCATTGTCATTCTCCACCTCCTCCCTTGCTCAGAAATTCTTTGTCAATCGAGTGTCACTTCACTAAGGCCGACTGAGGAAGTATCAAATGCACTCCTTCTCCATTGCTATTGCCATTGCCATTGTCATCGTCATCGTCATCTCCATGTTGACTTCATTCACGTCACTTCAGTTTCC